CATCTTGGAGGACAAGAAAACCAAGGGGTTCTGCTGATTTGGATCACTAGCAAATGATACACTAGAATTGACTGGGAGAGTGAGTTTTGTGCAACATGACTATTCCAGGAATGCATTTAATTTACTTGTAGGATAGTCATGGTTCAACCAAACTAGAGCTGAGACTAAGGAAGATCAAGTAGATGCATCAAGTTGAGAACAAAACATATGAAAAGAACAATTTGGAGTTATGCATCTACTTTACCAAATAGTTTGGAAAATGTATGAAGTAACTAATATAGCGGTTCTAATGAAACTATCGGCACTTGTTTTTTTTTTTTTTTCTAATTGGTGCCTCCATTGAGTCAAAAGAAAAAAAAAGTTTCTGGTCTTCAAGCCTGCCCAATGATATTGTAATAGAACAAGAAGTAAATATGAATAAATTATGACAAATTCAAATCTACTTTGTTAGTCACTTTTAAGAAGCCAGGTTGACACAAATGTGTTTAAGCAATTTGGTCAACCAATATCAGCAGTATGATAAGCTGTCAAAGGGAAAATGATGGTCAAACCAATCACATATGTTTCAAGAAAAGAGTATTTAGATGGCTTTCATGAGTTCAACAAAATAAGAGGAAAGTGCACAAACAGCCAGTCAAAAAGTCAATTAGATTTCAAATTTTCTTTTCTTTTTTCTTCTACAAGGTGTTCTTTTTCAACCATGGAATATCAACATGTGCATCAAAAGCACAGATTTTATATGCAATTATTCGAAGAAGAATTACAGTGACACTCTACTGCACATTTGGAACAAGTGTGAGACTGGAAGAACTTATCTTACCAGAACCAATCCGCAAGGAATGGCTGGCCGGCTTTCCAGCAATCTGTACATCCTTAAATCTCATGGTTATACTACATAATCATAATAAACCAAGAAAAGGCTGTCTGGAATGATCAGTGGCAAGCTATCTATGTAGCGATAGAAGCGCCTCAGGTTATCCCTTTCTAAAGTCATGGTGTCGACCACCTCACTCTTGTTTGTAAGCACCCATAAGTCTCTTGAACGCACTCTTTTTATGCTTCCTCTACAGAAGGGGCAGGACTGAGATCTCACATTCCTGTGAAGCACAATCAAGTCTAGCTATGGGAAGGCAAACATCTATTAAAAGCAAGTAACATACGATGCGGAGTAAGCATTTACCAGTCGCGGTAGCATTTTATACACATAGCATGGCTGCAGCTCGGCAGGACCATTTTGGTGCAAACCTCCAGGCAAATCCCACATTCGTCGTCTCTGTCAAAATCCTCATCGAAAAGCTTCTTCGGTTCTTCCATTCTTTTTCTGCCAACTAGATATTTATCTCGGCCTTTCTCTTTAGATTGTTCTCTTTCCACTATGTTGCCTTTAATTTGTTGAAGGGAAGGATATATAATAGCTGCAATTTTGGTTTTAGGCGATCCATTGATAAGTAGGTGTTAATTAAAGATCTTTTTAACACAAAAAAGGAACTTAAGTTGAGATTGTGCACCATAGAACTCTCTGATGCTGGCCCGTCTTTCGAACGTAGATACTGTTGTCATACCATCAACATAAACCTGCAAAATTCAGATTTTTTATCATCCTACATGCCCATAAACCCATTTCTTGTTCGATCAATGATTGACATGATTAGTCGCACATACTTGAAAGATGTATGCCAGAAATTGTTGGAAGAGTACCTTGTAGACAAGTATTTGGAAAAGCCCTAAATAACTTGGTAGGCTGTAAGAACAAGTGCAGTCCAGCCATTGCATTAGGAAGAGGAAGAAGGGTGCCAAAGGACTACAGGACAGCCTCATCTGGAGACAGGCACCACCATAAGCTCTTTGAATGGCATCTGCCCTGTAAACCCAACAAATCACTCGTATTCAAGCGCTATGACATTAAATCTGCCACTTGATTCCAAACATCATGAAGATTGAAAGTACTTGCACAAAACCAACAGATACACCCACATATTAGATATGAGAGGGAGAAGAGAGAGAGAGAGAGATTACAAGGTGTTGGCATGGTTTATGTCAGCTTCAAGAGCTTTAAGGGAACCTCTGAGGGATGGTGGCCTGGCAAGCTGGCTCTGAAACATAGCCTTTACGACCTTTCTCGTCCCTCTTGTACCTTTGTGAGCTAAGAAGAAGAAGAAGAAGAAGAAGAAGAGGGGGAGGAGGAGGAGGAAGGGGAAGTAGAGGGCAAGAAACCAAGAAAGAGAATGGGATCCTTTAAATTGCTATCCTGTGCCTTGATTCCATTAGCAAAACTTCCAAGAATCAAAATGCAACAAAAGGTGGACCACAGTAGCAAGGCAAGCAAAGGCAACCCCTCTCTCTCTCTCTCTCTCTCTCTCTCTCTATGGAAATAATTGAAAAGAATTAAAATATAATCCTCAAAGATTGACCAGCTGCAAATTGGATGAGAATGAGGCTGTGGGAGCCACTTGGGCACAGGCATGCATTCGGAAGAGCTCATCTTCCCCCACAACCAAAGACCAGGACCACTGCACCAACCACAGAGAGAACCAACAGTTGGACAGGAAATTGCCCTGCCCACTTCCTCTGGCTGAAAGAGACCACTGGAGTTTGGAAATGGGGTTGGGAGCTCAGCTTGAAGCCCACAACAACCTCTGGTGCATCACTCACTCCATGAAACAGGGCAACTACTCTTCAACCTCATCTAACAAAGGTGGATGAGCCTCCACAACTCTCTTCAAATATTCTGACAAATGGTAAAATCTTAGTGTTCCATAAATAAATATATATATATGTTAAGATTCTTATCACCAAAATTACCTTTCTTCATGTAGAAGCATAAAAAAAAAGGCATCAATCTTGTAAAATTGATATGGATGACATTTCCATTTATGTTGGAGCAAAACAAAAAAATCATGATTTGTCAAATAGAAAGAAAAGAACAACAACATAAAATTTGTGATATACCTTGAATAGGTTTCCATGGATCAATATTGACAGCTTGGGCATTTCTTAAGAATATAATGATATTTAAATTTTTTTAGAAAGATGTGTCCATATGAATTGCCACCAATCTTCTAATCCATTTGATGAGGATGTTCCTTGTCTGCCAAGATTTGACCTTAAGCAAATATTAATTGCTTGTGTCTGAGGTCAGTCATCCTTCTCCCATCTTGGACCTTTGACCATCTAGAATACAGATGAAAACTGTGTTAGACGTCAATGGAGGTGGCTTTGCCTCAGGAACAGGATGATACTGTTGGCTTAAATGTACCATTGTTTTACATGTGCAGGATACTGGAATTGTAAGAAAATAGTACAGAAGATGATGAGTTCTTAAAGAATACATAAACTCTCAATATTTATTCATCATTATTTTTCTTGATCTCATTTTTTTTATCGCTCATAACCTCACAAGCCCTAAGTCATCTTTTGCAGATGCAAATGTCTTCTTTACATATTTTTTTTATTAAATTTATTAAAAATAGATGAATTATTTGTATAATTATATTAAATGAATGTCATGATAAGATGGAAAAAGACTCATGAAAAAAAAAGAAAGGAGGAAAAAAATTATGAAAATAAGAGTACTGATATCCAATGGTGTTTATCGAGAACCTATATACCTAACTAATCATGTGAAAAGTATATCACCCATGATGTCGGACCTATCGCTAAGTGGTCACCCGTGCGAGCCACTCATGCCCCCGCATCACTCGTTCCACCTCGTTGTCGAAACATCTTGAATCAGGACAATATGTCGTTTCCAACACTCTTAGTAGACTAGGTTAACAAATAATATTATCACACAAATCGTAAGGTAATAAACTATCGGTGATTCAAAATCCAATCATACATGAGTCTATGATGTTAAGCAAATTTTTTTTGAAGTTGTTAATATGAGAAATTTTTGTTAGTTGTCTAATGAATTGTTTTATATAGTTTATTTTAAGACAAACTAAGTTAGTCTAAGAAATACTCATAATATGAACAACTTTTAATAAATCACTCTCTCTTGTATATTGATATTATAGTGCTTCTTTTTATTTACGTAAATTTTATATTAAAAAATCCCAAAAATTTATTATATATTGAGTGATATTATTTATTTATTTATTTATATAGAGCATCTCTTGGTTTTTAGAAAATGATATTACTCTATCCAATCGTGAGGTGTCGTTGCCTTGACCTTGTTGGCTCAACACTAACTCCTGTAACATGATGTCTCTTTCATTAGATTTTGGCATCATCCGTTCTTTTCAATTGAATCTTAGCACCACTAAATCCAATAGCTTAGTTTCACTAACGAATGAGTTAAATCTTGGGGAGGAGGATGAAGACATGCGAAGAGAGAAGGGTAGGGGGCAACGGAGCAACGAGAATGAGAACGATGAAGGTGACAACGATAGCAACGAGCAATTGCTTTGCATCGATAAAACTTTGACAAAGCTAAGAGTAATTAAGGGAGATGACAGAGCCTCTTAAGATGATAGGTAGCATGATAGGTGACATCAAAAGTGTGAGTCATGACAAGATGAAGGCGATTATAAGACGATGATAGGATGAGATAATATTTATCTTTTAAAAACTAAAAAAAAAATATGAAAAATAATATAAACTTTAAGAGATTATCAATTTTTTATTTAAAATTTTTAAAAAGTATATTATATTATTTTTATGTTAGAATCGTTATTTGGTCATGTATCGGCTTCAATTCATATGACACAAGCAAACAACCAAAAGAAGCCTTAACATATGACATATAAAAACAACTAAAATTTTAAAATATTAAATTTAAAAATTTCCAATGATTAAAATGAACAACTTCATAACTTTTATTTTTATTTACTTCAACTCCTCAAGTATTTCTCATTCGGAATAAATAAAAATAAATAAAATCACGTGGCGCCCTCTTCGCCGGGTTCCATACCGGTCGTCGATCGCCTAAAATGCCGGCCCGGCGCAGTTGTCCGAGTCGAATACCGCCCCCCCTCCCCCAAACCCACCGCTTTCCCCCCCCCCCTGCTCGCTCACAGTAATAGTCGACCCCCGACCACGAATCCCATCAGCGCTCCACCTCACCACTTTCTCCTCCCCGATGCCGCCTCTCCACCACTTCTTCCCCTCACTCTCCTCTCCCTCTCCTCACTTCTCTCCCCCTATTTCTATGGTTCCCCCTCCACTCCTCTTCCTCTCCCTCTCCCTCTCGCTCTCCCTCGATCCATGGCCAGATTCGGAACCGGGAAGCACACGCCGGGGAAGTACATCTTCCTCCTCTCCTGCATCATCCTCCTCGCCCTCGTCCTCCTCGCCGACTTCCTCTGGGCCTCCTCCTCCTCCTCCTCCTCTTCCCGTTCCTTCCCCTACCGCGTTCTTCGTCCTCCATCCTCTTCTTCCTTCCACTACTGGTCCCCCTACTTGGACCTCTCCATGGCTCTCTCCGCCCCCGACGCTAAGCAGGTGAGCTCCATGCCCATCTCATCGCGCTGGTTCCTGGAGGATTTGGTTCGGATGCAATGTAGGCTCTTTTCTCGTCCGATCTATATTCGATCTGCATTTTCTATTTTGTTGCTTCATTAGTAAGTGGAACTCTCCTCAGACAAGGCCAATCAACTGAGCTCGATTATGATCTTGTCGTGTTGGATTCTGTTTGGGAAGCTAGATTCTCGAATCTGGTTCCTGGAGGATTTTATCTGGATGCAATGTAGCCTCTTTTCTCGTTGGATTTCGATTCTATCAGCAGTTTTCTTGTTATGCTCGAAATTTATTGAGTGTAGTGGAAACATTCGCAAAACTGTTTGGTTTGTGTTGTTCGTTCATCAAGATCACGGTTTCAGGTCTTTTATCAGGAGTATTGAACTGATAAATTTTCTGCTCAACTTTGTGTCTTCATCGAATGCTGAAATTGGTGTGTTCTATTAAAATTTCGCACATTGGACGAGTCTGGCAAACTGGATTTTCTTTTACATTAAATACGTCGTAATTAGTCTTGAAAAATATTTACTAGGTTTGAAAGATGTTGTAAATAATCTTAGACACGGGTCAAGTTACAGTAAATGAGTTAGCACACAATGATTAAGTTGGAAATGAGAGGTGATCTCATTAACTTAATCTTGGGACAATTGGACCCCTGAAAAACCCAAATTGGGCCGAATGGATCAACCCATTAGCCTTGTTTATCGTTTCTTACATGTGAATGCTGGGACATGTTTTACCGAAGTATACCATGACTTGTTCTTGTTCTGTTTTGGCACTTAATTTCTATTATTTTTGAGAATTCCATGATGTATTTTAACCTTGGGTTAGTCAGAGATTCTCTAGTTGAGGAAGTGGTTTAAGCATATCTGTCTATGCCATCTGAAATCCTTCTACTGTTATACGTAACCCATGAGACTCCTCTAAGTTCTGTATCTTATCTCTTGCTTTGCTTTCTGGCTGAATTTGCCTAATTGATTTGTCAGAACATTTGCAAGGGAATAAAACTATGATTCGTCTGTGTTTCATGCAATGAGCTTCATTCTACTTCATTGGTCTTTTCTCTTTAAGTGAATTAATTTCTGCTGCCCCACAGACTCTATGCATTATGTATGAAAGAACTGTTTTCACAATAATCCTTTTTTTAGAATGTGGACCTGAAACAAAATGGTTTTTCTTTGTTTGGTTATCTTGCTTGTCTAAGTTATCTTTTTGCTGATATTTCCTGCAAATTGTTCTCTTTGTATGTATAAGTCATTTTTAATGCCTTTACATATTCCAAGTGAGTCATAATATTAATTTTCTTTCCAACAGTCTGAAGGAAATTCTAAAGGTATCAAATTATCAGTCAAGGTTCTCAATGCAACTTTTGCTGATATACCAGCACCACAGTTAGAATGGGAAGAGATGCCCGAGGCACCCGTACCTCGTCTAGATGGGGCTGCCATACAAATTAAAGACCTCTTTTATGTATTTGCTGGATATGGTACCATTGATTATGTAAGAATTTTGAAAATTTTGATGCCTTTTTTCTGTTTTTCTAGGCTTTTCACTTCATTCACGTTCTGTAGCTCTTTCAATTGTCTATAAAAGGAAGTGATTGTGAAGTTGAAACCATACTTCTGCCTTTGACCTTCTTCCTGGTGTTTGATTAGTGCATTCCATGTTTAGCCTTTAGTTATTAAGTTTTAGAATAACCATGCTAAATAATATATAGATATTTTTTAATTTATGAGAGAAATTGAGTTATATATGTCTTGTTGCTCTATATTACATTTGATGAAGATTATGACTGGTGAACCTTCGGGATGAACTTGAGGAACAAATGTAAAAGACAATCTCAAATAAGATAATTGGTCTTTCACATGTCATTCCATCCAATGAAAGTTGGACTCATGAAAGGCCCTACGTATTAGGCATTAATTCTTGGGCATTATGCATATAACTTGTTACTAATTACATTGACTACCTGTTATCAGCTGGTAAGGATGCCTTATAAAAGAACAATATAGTTTTTTGTATAGCTATTGATGTTTCACAGGGTATTTTTGTTGGCTAATTTACACATCTGGTTGTATGAACCTACAAAACAATATGATGGATAAAGCTGCTAAACTAGACAAGGTATATTATGTTGTTCTTGTTCATTGTTATCACTGTCAAGATTTAATGAATTGTCAACACAAAACAGTCTAAACAAATTTAGTATGATTTTATTCCTCTACGAGCATTTTGATATGTCATGGTGGACTCCGTAAGAGCTGCTTTACCTTTTAATTCATATTCTTCTATGCGTTCGTCTTTTAGGTGCATTCTCATGTTGATATATATAACTTCAAAAACAATTCGTGGGGCGGAAGGTTCGATATGCCCAGGGAAATGGCAAACTCACACTTGGGAATGGCAACAGATGGAAGATACATTTATGCGGTCACAGGACAGTATGGCCCACAATGTAGAAGCCCTACTAACCGCAACTTTGTGCTGGATACAGAGACAAAAAAGTGGAATGAATTGCCCCCACTACCTGTTCCTAGGTATGGGCAGTTTAACACATCGTGACCATCTTAAGCTGCTGCAATTTTGTTGTCAGTGGCATCTTTTCTGGAAGACATCCTTTTTCTTTGACATTAATAACCAGGTTATTAATCCATTATAATTTTTAACTAAACATTGAAATAGCTTCATCTGGATTTCACTGCATTTAAGGTATGCCCCAGCAACTCAACTTTGGAGAGGCAGACTGCATGTTATGGGTGGCAGCAAAGAGGATCGCCATGAACCTGGATTGGATCATTGGAGCCTTGCAGTAAAGGATGGAATGGCATTAGAAAAAGAATGGACAACCGAGATACCAATACCACGCGGTGGTCCTCACAGGTATTTTTCCATAATCTTTCTTCAAACTATAACTTCATGTTTACACATAATATGTATCATTCGTAACTTCTCATGATATTTTTGACTTTTGGCTTAACACCTTGGAGTTGAGATGTCACACTGTAGAAATTAATGCCCCCCATTAAACATTGATGTGATGACTATAAACTTACATAAGGTTATAGATGTAGCAGGATCTTTTTTGCTTAGAAGGTTATTTTACACCCCTCAATTTCATGTTGTTTCTAAAATCCAATGTGTTCTATCAGTCATAATTGTGTGCCATTTCCATTTAACAAACTTAGAATATCTGGTAGTTGTAATGCCACCACCTAAGTCTATTTTGAGGAAAGCTTTGCTTCAATTAGCCTGCCAAACATTATCTGGGTGATCGTAGATTTAAATTATTGCCAACTCAGAACTTTTTGTAATGTTGATTTTAGTAATGCTCATCTAACTCCACACTTCCCTGATTGGAATAGAGATAGTAGATGGGCTTTACATAACGAGTCAAATTATGATTCATATAACAAAAAACACATATTTTCCTATTTCTCATGGTATACTTTATTCTGCCGTCAGGTCATGCGTTGTCGCCAATGATCAACTGATAGTTATTGGTGGTCAAGAGGGTGATTTTATGGCTAAGCCAGGATCACCAATTTACAAATGTTCTCGAAGACATGAGGTACTGAAACTATATTTTACCTGCCAAGTGACTGTCAATCACTTAATCTATTTTTATATCACTATCCCGTTTGACAAGCTGATGTCTTTATTGTGCAACTTTAGGAGAGAGATATGTGACAGTACATGAGAATGGAAACTGTGTTTGTGAGGTCAACTTGATCAGTTTTAACCTTAGATTCTTTCATAACTCATTGAATGTAGTATGACAATGCGAGTCATTTGACATGCCTACATGTGGATTATGGAGCAAGAAAAAAATGGTATACTAGGATCCTAGCTAGTGTAATGATCTAGAACCTGGTATGTTTTCTCCAGGCATAAGCATCACAGTGCTCCTAACACAGTCGAACATGAAAAAAATGTCATAGAATAGATAGTTACAGGAGATGGCAAATAATAATCTTTTTTCTGAAGAAAAGTTCTTTTCTGGTGACATATTCCCACTCCATATTATTACTTTTCCTTTTTTCATGTCTGTCACTCTTTTTTTTTGTACTTTTGACTTTTTTGGTTCACACCTAAAAGATAATACATTTAATTTAATTTTAAAGAAGATGGTGTATTATTTCAAGCAACAAGGAGTTACACTTGAGGATTTTTTTCAAAAAAAATTTATACAAAAGTCTGAAGCATGAGCAAATGCTTTTTAAAACCAAGATGAATCATGCTGCATGTATTTATGCTTCATGTTGGAGTTCATCGGGTATCTTTCTACTGATCAAGTTCCCTCTGTGCCAGAAAGGAAATTGAGAGTCTTTTACATCAAAAACCTGTTGTTGAAGAACATTTCTGTATTGAACATCATGCTACTTGATGTGTCTGTGGTTGGTGGATGAATATCATCACAAAGCATTTATTTGAGTCAGATTTTTTATGGTGATATTATCCTGCTCGAGTATCTATTTTCTGTTGCAACTAGCAACTGCGTACCATGCTTATATATTAAATGGTGAAAATTGACGCTTCAGAAGTGGAGTTATCCTTTTCTCCAGGTTCAATATGCTGATGTTTACATGCTGGATGATGGGAAAAGATGGAAGCAGCTGCCCTCGATGCCCCTACCAAACTCCCACATAGAGTTTGCATGGGTTGTTGTCAACAACTCAATCATTGTTGTCGGCGGCACCACACTGAAACACCCTATTACCAAGAAGATGATTCTACTTGGTGAGGTCTTTCAGTTTAATTTAGACACCCTGGTAAGGATTCTTTTCTCTTGTTTGTTCTTGCTTCAGAAATATAATTTATGATCATCTAATGCATTATCTTTTACCTCAGACGTAGGGTCAATAAAGGATAACAGAGGAAACCATTTAAGATGGCCTGAAAACTAATTAAGTGAATTGATATGATGTTTGTGGATGTTATGTTTCCCTCATTAGATGTGATTTCTTCTTTAATATGTACAGAAATGGTCGGTAGTCGGTCGCATGCCTTTCCGAGTCAAGACAACCTTAGCTGCTTTCTGGAATGGATGGCTATACTTCACATCTGGTCAGCGAGACACAGGACCGGATGATCCATCTCCAAGGAAGGTCGTTGGAAGCCTGTATAGAACTAAATTAAGCTTATAACCACATTGTTTGACTTGACTCCATCTATTTGTATCTATCAATTTTATGTTATTTGAGGAAATATATCAAATAGAGCCAGACATAATGTCTATTTTTAGTTCTAAAGGAAGTTTTCCTACTTGGAGATTGCACCATCCAATGCTTGTTAGATATCTGCTGGTTTGAGATCAATTTTAGATATATAGCCTTAATTTGGCTAGAATTTTTTTGAGATGAGTGTCTTAATTTGATTAGAATTTGCAAGTTATGGCCATAATTACTTATAGTTATGGTAAGATAATTATTCACAAGAAATGTGACTAATTAGAGATGTATGGTAGCATTAATGATGCAAAAGAAAGAAAGATTTAAAATACTTTTTTGAAAAAAAAAATCGATTTAATTGATCTTAAAACTTAATTAATTATTTTATCACGTTGATGTCATTGTTCCTCAATACCTCAATCGATAAGTAGATCCGGATCCGATATGACTGCGATCCGACCCGATACTGTCACTAATTCACCGTTCGGAGCGGATTCGGTTTCATGCGCCCGTCTTACGTGAACCGACTCACTATGCCATGTGCGGTCGTCGAGCGATCACGAGGGGACGACCTTAACGTCTCCCTCTCTCTCTCTCGCCGTCTTGTCTTCCTGCCGTTTACCCATTTTTCTCTCTCTCTCGTTCGTCGCTGCCTTCCTCCGTCGAACACGAATCCTAAATTTGAGCCTCCGTCCCGTTATCATTTTCCATTCCTTCCCTCAGATCGAAGAGGAGGACGGCCCCCTCGATCGTTTGTGTGGCTTATATCCCCCTCGGGCAACTCCACCGGAGATCTTGCCGATGATTTTCTGAGCTGGGTTCCTTAGGGCTCGAATTCCTACGCCGTTGGCGCCATCCTGCCGCTAGAACATCAGCGAGACGCGAACCGTGAGTTTCTGTCTGTGATTGCCTTTTGCTTCTTCTTCCAAGTGATTTCTCAGCATATACCTTCTTGGTTGTTGCAGTCAAGGCATGTGATTCTTTGGGCAAACGCTCTTTAAGGAATTAAGGAAGATTTTTCTGGAGTGCATAATGACGTCGAGGTCAGTCTAATAGGCCTATGTTTAGAGATCAATGTTGTTTTTCTTTTGTTTCTCGTATAGAAACATGTATAACACAAGTTGAAGAGGATTGGGAATTTTGCTTCATGTCACCGGTTGTTATTCGTTTTGAAACTAGAACAAAAAGTTAGTATTTACTGGAAAAACTAAAAAAAAATCAGAGCCATTCTTGTGGTTAGAATTTTGTTCATTGAAATTGATTTTCAATACAATATTACTCAACTTAGTACAATATTTAAATGTAATCTACATCTTGTGGCATGCCATCGTAACCCAAAATACACTATATTATTGTTGTATGGTGAGTAATGATGAAACTTGTGATGACCTTCAAAACCAATGTGTATACACGGTTGCCATTGTTTCATCCATGGGAATGCATGTGTTATCTGTGTAAGAAATTGGTTTACATATGCTAAAGCATCTAATTACATATCTTGACATGTTTCTCATTATAATTTATTGACAATACTATTGAGTAGCTATAGTAAATTCCAGTTTGAATGTTGTAATTATATTTTACTGATAAGGTCCTCATTGACTTGCCAATATAATTTCTCCCACTTGCAGGTTTTTGGCTTTTCAAAAATTCAGAAAAGCTGGTTATTCTTTTCTAGCAAATCCCAGAACCAGCTTTTCCACAACGAATCCTGGATTTTCTTCAGCAAATGGTTTACCTTTTTCATGCAGATTGTTCCCACAGAACAAGGTTTTTCATGGATGGAATAACTTGTTTATGCTCTATAAAACGGAGGAAAATATATCCAAGAATAATCCCTTGAGGAAGTTCTTTGTCATTTCAGCTAGAAGTTCGATGACACATCGTATTCAAGTTGCCTGGAAACAGCTGTGTGTAATGTACTCTTATAGAGGAATTGCATCTTCACCTGTCAGTAAGATTGCTTGTGCTGCAAGTTTAGCTGTCGCTAGATCCCATTTGGTTCCTAGCTTTCTTGCATTCATTACTGGGGAGATTGCATTGTCCAAGACAGCTTGGGCAGATGGGGAGTACTTTCCAACACAAAATGCACTTTATATGCAAGCACAAGATAGCCATATTTTCCTCACCTCCTTTATTCTTTCCATATTGGAGTGTTTTATTTTGTTTCTAAGAGCATTCTATTTGGCAGTTCTGTTCTCTCCTATTATAGTATTGGCTCCACTTGCAGATAGTTGTGATACTCAGTTCAGAAAAATGTGGAATCATCTTGTTCATTCTACTCTGGAAAAAGCAGGACCAGCATTCATAAAATGGGGTCAGTGGGCTGCTACACGTCCGGACCTCTTCCCTAGTGATCTTTGCTCTGAATTGGCAAAGCTTCATTGTAAAGCACCTGCACATAGCTTTGCCTACACAAGGAAATCTATAGAGAGAGCATTCGGCCGCAAACTTTCTGATGTTTTTGAGAATTTTGAGGAGGAACCTGTGGCGTCTGGAAGTGTAGCTCAGGTACATCGGGCTTCTTTGAGATTTCGCCATCCTGGTCAACATGCAAAGCAGTTAGTTGTTGCTGTAAAGGTTAGACATCCTGGTGTTGGTGAGTCCATTAAGAGGGATTTCATGATAATTAACATGGTGGCCAAAATCTCCAAGTTCATGCCCACCTTGAAGTGGTTGCGCTTGGATGAAAGTGTGCAACAGTTTGCTGTATTCATGATGTCTCAGGTAGATCTTGCAAGGGAAGCTGCCCATTTAAGCCGCTTTATCTATAATTTCCGCAGGTGGAAGGATGTGTCTTTCCCAAAACCTCTCTATCCGCTTGTCCATCCTGCTGTTTTAGTGGAGACTTATGAGCATGGACAAAGTGTTTCTTACTATGTTGATGAGCTTCAAGGGCATGACCGACTCAAAAGTGCGCTTGCTCACATTGGGACTCATGCACTCTTGAAGATGCTTCTGGTATATTTCTTGTTTAGCTCTTTGTTGGAGTTATCTATTTGTTATGATTCCATGTTTCCAAACTTAGGTTTATAAGCTTTTAAAATTTCTGGTCTTTATTCCTACATCTGTGTTGGCGGGAGCCTCATCCATTGGGTATACCCTTTATTGGTGAGTCAGTTGATCCAAGAGCTATTTTGCCTGTGTATATTACTTTTACATCCAAATAAGACTTGCAGAACAGTATAAGGAAGTAGTCAAAACTTGCAATAGGTTCACTGCCGATACTTCATTTATGATTTTATGGTTCTTTAAGTGAACGTTCATGCTTCTTTTTGAACTCATACTAGCAATGTTTAAAGAGAATCTTTATGCTGATGGTAACTGTCTGCCTGATTCCTTCAAAAAATTGACTCTTTGATTATCTTGGATGGGTGAGGATCAAGGTGAGAACCACCTTTTTTTCCTTGAGAACATGTTATGCAACTCTGGAACCATTGCAACTTTCTCTGTGATTATTAAGCATTATTACACTTCAATCAATGTGACTCTTTTTTTGTATAATTAACTCGAGCATTCATCTTTTCCTACAGGTGGACAATTTCGTCCATGCAGATCTGCATCCTGGAAATATGCTTGTCCGAGCTCAAACCAAGCACTCAAATAAAAGGCTCTTTAAATCAAAGCCTCATGTCATATTTCTCGATGTAGGTATGACTGCAGAACTTTCCAGCAGCGACCGTGTAAATCTGCTCAACTTTTTTAAAGCTGTTGCTCTTCGAGATGGACGCACTGCAGCTGAGTGCACCTTAAGGTTATCAAGAAATCAAAACTGCTCAAATCCAAAGGCTTTCATTGAGGTACTGTCTGTTGTAGCTTCTTTTTCTGAACGGCCAGATTAATCTCCTCCTAGGCTGGGATTTTGAATTGATATTTTGTGATCCAATTGTTCACTGAAATTTACTTCCAACACCATATGCATGAACCTGTATATTCATTCATGTGTGTGCTATTTCATTTTATTTATGTATGATATTTCAGGAAGTAGATAAATCATTTAGTTTTTGGGGCTCTCCTGAAGGGGATTCTGTCCATCCGGCTGAATGCATGCATCAGTTGCTCGAACAAGTTCGCCGTCATAAAGTCAATATCGATGGTAATGTTTGCACTGTGATGGTGACAACTTTGGTTTTGGAGGTACAATCTCTTCATCAAATTTACCACACGATATGTATCAGTTTCCGATTCTTTGTATCTCGTATTTGTAGTACTTGGCATGTATAAGTTGCTTGTGTATATACATATAACCAACCAATTCCAGTTTGAGGTCATGAAACAGAAACATCATGCAGAGCATGGAATGACGGGATGCATCTGTTTTCTTGTCTTGTTTGTGAAAATCGATATGTTTGCCTGTCATTTAATTTTAGGCATCAAGTTGTCATTTGTGGTTTTTGGTGAGGCCCAAAATTAGATAAACTCTTTTAAAGCATTTTTAAAATTACAATACAGGCATAGGGCAACAGAAGTCTCTTAGAAGCTTTTCTTAGAAGAATTGATCAAATATTTTCTGATCATGCTTTGTATGCACTCATCAGCTCTTGAAGAATTTCCCAGTCAATAGTTTTACAAAAATACAAAAATTCCAATGTTCTGTTGTTCATTTAATGAAAATTGAAAGACTCATTGTGTTTGCTTTTGGTGGAAATCATCTTTAAACATAGTTTTATATTCTTCATGATGTTGGAATTAAGATGAGCCAGCCTGGATCAGGATGGTGTTCAATAATTTCTTGGTGAAATATCGGGATTTCAAAGTCAATATGAAGTTCTCTTTTCTTTTCTCATTCTTAGGTACAACCATTTATATGCGATAAAACAAAAACAATAGGCCTTATGCAAGCACATTTATCTACTATAACTCATATATTGATGAAAATTCTTTTGCTGAAAAAGTTGTTTGGTCATGTCCGGAGTTCCTGTTCAAAGATCTCATGCTTCACATGAATGGTGCCTGCTTTGTTCATGATTCTGTTCTTCTGCTGCATACATAAACTGATATCTAAGAGCTATTCATTGAAACTGACCTATTTGAGATATTTACTCCTTGTATGTGGGTGGGAATAAAAATGAAATGATGTATTCGACTTTGTGGCTATTTAATTACTTTGACTGAAGCAACCTGAATATTTTTGTTTTCCAAAGACATTAAATTGGTTTTCATTCTACGACATAACCGTGGCTTCTGCTTGTTTCTTTATAGGGTTGGCAGCGGAAGCTGGATCCAGATTATGACATTATGCAGACACTGCGAACATTGTTATTCAAATCTGAGTTGGCACAGTCTCTTTCATATACAATTGAAGCACTTATGTCCCCTTAGAGAAAGGCTCCTCCCCTGCAGTTTTATATATTCCCGGAGAAATTTTTCGACAGCATAAAGTTGGTGTATAATGATTATGTTTGGTATGGGCTCTCCAATTTTGTTTTTTCCCTTCTAAATGTTTCTTTTGCAGATTCAACATCTGCATCATGCTTAAATGTTATTAAGGTGAGTTGCTGATTAAACGGGAAGTGAAGTGGAATAAATAAAGAATCTGTCCAGATTCTTACACTTGGCATATTTGGAATTGCAGATAAATTTCCTTCTCAACATCTGTGAGGTTGAACGGAAGAATGTTCTGCCTTCTTCATTTCAGTTGTTGAAATCTCATCAATGATTATTTAAGCATGTGTGTGGTAATTTTGGCGCATTCGTCATTCCTCAGTAAATTTGTGTTATCATCAATGGACAACATCTGTATATTTTCTTTTCCCCAAAATTTTTGGGTTCTTCTTTTATTGAGTTGAATTGTATCAACTTATTCCAATTTTTTTGGTTCCAAAGATTATTATTTCTTGTATGTTCATTGAAGTAAAGAAAAAGGATAATCTTGACACCGTGGTGTACATCTTCTGAAACACTAGGAACAGAATAATGAGAACAAGAAGAAGAGCAGAAACATAATTGAGCTTCGGCGAATCTGCATGGCAACTTGGATCTCTTCATAGCATAGTCGTTTATCTGTTCTAAGTTTATAATCCCTTCTAATGTATTTGTAGAGGGTTAATAGTGTGGTCTTTTGTCTTCGAACACTGCAAAAACAAGCTGTGTATTTATGCTGGTTTGTCTCTGTATGTGGGGGGGATATGTCTCTTTTGTGGATCAGTTTTAGTGGATGAACTCTTTATCCATCCCTTAATTAATGTACTTGCTCTTGCAGAATCTGGGAACTCCTAACATGGCTATGTGCAGATGCTTCTGCGAGTAAAACTATTATTGCAGGGAGGAAAGACCAGCTGTGTTATCAGATGAAGTGAGTTGTGTAGCGAATCAGATGTCTGAGTTTGATAACAACATGAAGAAGCCGTCTTGTTTCTTTGTGGAACTCAATCTCTGTTTCTATGAAATTAAGCTCCACTTAAGCCATGATTATGTGTTCACTCACGTCTTATCCTATCCTTTTTTATGTTCAAAAAATATTGTCACTTATGCGTGACTAAATAGAAAAGATGGAGGTCTTACTCTGTTATCTAATAGTCATTTCCAAGTCTCATGAACAACGAAAAACGTTGTACAGATCACTCTGTTCTTGGTTTTCCACATTTTTAGCCAGTGAGACTAAATGGGCTCATCATCTTATATGATGATCTAAATTAACAAATTTCCACAAATCACGAAAAACATCCTAAAGTAAAGTTTCCACAAATCACTTGTATTTTTTGGCGAGTTTGATAGGTTTACAGCATGATATGCCACCTCTAGTACCGATGGTCAAATTTCTTCTTCTTCCTGCAGAAGTAATGGATACTTGAATTAACAAAGAACAATGCACAGTTTTGTTCTTAGGAAATCAAACTGGAAAGCTAGAAATGGAAGGAAGCAATACAAAATGTCATGTTAGAGAAGCCAAAGAAACAGTCTTAGCTTTTGAAGTGTAGTGTCCAAAAACCCTGCAAGCTTGTTATTTCACCCACCCACCCACAACAAAGAACCAGTAGATTTGTGAGTCAACATCACAAAATAGATGTCTGTTTAACATCTCCCCCTGGAACAACTGCAGCTCAAACTCAAAGCAAACCTACAAGTCAGCTGTGAATTCGATTCCGGATCGACGATAACAGATGATACAGCACAAGTGATCATAACCCTTTGCGATCGATCCATCAAGCCGGCGTCGGCCAGTCCTTTCTAATCTCGAAGTAGTAAGTCATGTCCAGGTAGCACTTCCCATCATCATCCACGAACTGCAACAAAAAGCATGGGGAGGAAGAGAAGACCAAGGGTGAGGATGGAGGAGGAGGAGGAGTTGTGCGGCGACTTCTTACCTTCGTCTTGGCAGAATACGATCCCCTCGCGAAGTAACCCGCAGGGGTCGCCTCTTCTTCCAGTTCGTACGTGTAGGGCTCCTTCTGGGGGCTGAACGTTCCCAGCATCACCTTGGTGCTGTCCACTGGACAAAGATCCAACACCTGAGGCACACTCACGTCGAAGAAGATGAGAAAAGACCGAGGTGGCACCTTTCATTCCCGTCTTCCACACGGTGTTGGTGTATCTGAGGCCAGAGACGATGTTGTTGGAGACGGTGAAGGTGAACTTGAGGCGGTAGCGGCTGCCGTCCTTGAGGGCGAAGGCGAAGCCCTTGGCGTCAGGGACGAAGGGGATGGGGAGGACGACGTCGGGGCGGTCGGGGGCGAGGATGGTGAGGTCTTGGATCTTCACATCTGGCTCGAGGGTCTCTGAGTGCAAGAAAACATGTGCATGTTTACCAGATCACGCAACGGTTCTCGTGGCAGAAGGAGAAGAAGAAGAAGAAGAAGAAGGATTACCTCCGACTTCGTTGAGATCAATGCTTCCGAGGAGCTGCTCCTTCCACTTCCTCAAGCTCTCGTCGTCCTGCAAGACCACAACCCTGCATGATCAGCACCAAACACACCCTCTCCTTCATCCTCGCGGCCACGTCGCACACCGCACCTTGTCCATCTCAAGCTGCTCCTTGAGCCCGATCTGCGGGCCGAGCTCCACGGGTCCCTTCTCCTCCTCGTCCTCGTCGCCGCCGTCCTCGTCGACGGTGGTGCAGCTGAGCTTCCTGTTCATCTTCTCCTCCGCGTCGCCGCTCTGCTCCTCCCCGGGCTGCTTCTCCTTCTGCTCGTCCTTCTCCATGACGTCCGGGTCGGCCAAGGCAGTGTCTTCGGAGGCCGAGGGAGCGCCCGGGGCAACCAACGCTCGCTCTCTCCTTGTGCGCGCTTCTCGCCTTCCACAGGGAGAAGAGAGGGAGGATGGGTTGGGAGATAAGAGGGGAAGAAGAAGAGGCCTTTGGCTGAAACCCCCTCGCCCCCACCCCTCACCAACACGAACACTGTGTTGGATTTGCGACAGATGGAGGCGAGTGGATGCTCTGTTTGGCTCTGCAAGCCTTCGATCTCGTTCTGAGCGGGAGCGAGCCGTTGATGGGATTGGGTGAACCTGAGGAAGAAGCGGCTATCCGTATGGGAACAGAACAAACAGGTGGTGGGCGAAGAAGTCTTTCCTCCGTTTGGAATTATATTCTCCTATATATATATATATCTTAAATCCTCACATATATATATATATATATATATTGTAAATAATAAATGGTGAAGGTAAGGATTTATCTCTGAATTTGGTAATGATCTAATAAATTCTTTGCCCACTGAGTTAGGGAAGATTTATGAGATCAACAAGTTTTCCAACTTATAATTTGTATTCTTTCCGGTTGAAGAGCACATTAAGTGATGAGCAATAAACTACACTATCCACACATCACTAGATAGAGGTAAAAGGAGGGAGAAGGTCAGAGTGATTTCAATTCCCTTTGGCATCTAATGCAGTGGATGATTCTTGATGCATGGATTAGTGCTCACAACATGGACATTGGAAGTCCAAGGTGTGTGTCCTCTTCCTCTTTGTCTCGCACACATAACACTCTTGCTTAGGGCTCTTCCTCCATGAAGTATATTAATTTTAGGGTGGGGGGGGGGGGGTGCACACTGTTCTTGTCTTTGCATTGATCCATGCCATTTAATACCACAAGCTCCATCTCGTGATCATATTAATTGGCTTGCGGCAATCTGAATTCTTCTGATTTGATGGCCCCACTTTCTTTTGTTTGAATTCAAATACTACCTTGAAAATTATCATTTGAAGAATTTTTGGTTTTTTTCGATATATTTTTTTTATCTGTTTGAACCTTTTCATATATAAATATTCCAACAGAATAATGGTAATCTCATTTTTTTTAAATAATTTTTATATCTCTAATCAATTGGCTTCATTTTTGGACGAAATAATATCTTAGAAATTCTAGAATGGATTATATAATTTAATTTTTGAGCTAAATTTTTAATTACTCATGTCGATCCTACTTGTGTCGATACTATCACATTTTAAGAAAAATATTAAGAAAGGGTAT